TGCCATCTTTCTCCACTTCCATGGTGAATCTGATGGATGGGTGTCTGGAATTGATGTGGTCCAAGAAGTGGTTCAATGCTGGGAGGCCATGTGGCCAAATGACGAAAGTGTCATCCACATACCTCTTCGACAGGGAAGGACGCAGGGTGGATGTCTGGATGGCGTCTGATTCAAACTTTTCCATGAACATATTGGCTAGCACTGGTTACAAGGGGGAGCCCATAGGGGTACCCTCATTCTGTTTGTAGAAGGTGCCATTCCAGGTAAAATAAGTGTTGGCGAGGCAATGCCTAACCAGCGCAGGTACATCCGAATTCAATCCATGTTGGACCAAGTCCTCAATTATTGTTAGGGTGTCAGGCACTGGGACTTTGGTAAACAAATACTACATCAAAACTGACAAGGATATCATCAGGTCTCTATGGTCAAGGACATGGTATTTTGTATATGTGGATCGCCTCATGAACTAATCTCACCTTTCTGAAGAGATGCCGCGACTCTAAGGTAATACCAAACGCATTTATACTAACATCTGCTGCTGTAACTTCTTCTAATGTTAAACGAATTCTGTCTAGAACTAGCTGAGCTCTTATCTCAGAGAAAATCAGACTTACGCACACCGATCTTGATCAGTTAGACAAGACTCTCTACAAATCACACTTATCTTTGAGTGCAACAATGTCCACATCAGATTGGGAACATGTAGACAAAATGACTGCCTCTTCAGCTGCCGCTATGTCGACCAAATGTAAGGACAACTTGATTTCCAAATTCAACCGCCTCTCAAACAAGAGACCGGACCCACACGTTGAAAAGTTAGACGTTAACAAAGTCGTAATTAATCACAGTAACAGTTCTATTTCTGAAGGTCTGAAATCCGTTTTAGCTAAAGGACTAAACTTTGCAGTCACACCTAGACACATACCAGTTAATGATATAATTGCCCGAGTAGATGTAGCTCTCAAGGGCCTGCGTCACATTGCTGCAGACGTAGCAAGATCTGAAATCTCTGCAACCCTCAAGCGCTAAGATGCCAGCTAGCAACATCAGCAAAGATAAGCGTTTTGAATTAGCTCAATTAAAAAAGAGGGATGACATTGTCATCCTCTCAGCCGACAAAGGCAATGCCACTGTCATCATGGACAAAATAGAATACAACAACAAAATGCAAGAATTACTCAACGATGGCAGCTATACAAAAATAAAAAGAGACCCCACCAACAGCCTCATCACTAAAACCAACAAAATCATTTCTGATTCAACCGCATTAATTAATCAGACCAAACAGTTCTCGTTGAAACCTTATGCAGCCAGGCCACCAAGATTATACGGCTTGCCAAAGATACATAAAGAAGATACACCTCTTCGTCCCATTGTCTCTACGATCAACTCCCCCACATACAAACTGGCTCGTTTTCTGTCTGAAATCCTACTGCCTTTCACTGGAAAAACCACCTCTGTGGTACTAAACTCTACTGACTTGGTATCGACAATCAAGGGGATTTCCCTGTCCCCAGACTACCTGCTTGTCAGTTTTGATGTGGTTTCCTTATTCACCAAAGTTCCTGTACCTGACACCATCGCAATCATTGAAGACTTGGTTCATCAAGGACTGAATGCTGGGGTACCCCCCCTGGTGAGACACTGCTTAACCAATACATACTTCACCTGGAATGGAACTTTCTACAAGCAAACTGAGGGCACCCCAATGGGCTTCCCCCTATCTCCGGTTGTAGCCAACGTTTTCATGGAGAAGTTTGAGACTGACACCATCCAGACTGCCACTCTACGCCCTACCTTATGGAATAGGTACGTAGATGACACTTTTGTCATCTGGCCACATGGCCGACCTGCTCTAGACCAATTTCTCGACCACATCAATTCCATACACCCAGCCATCATATTCACCATGGAAGTCGAAAAAGATGGCAAGCTACCCTTTTTGGATGTCCTAATTTAAATGAGACCTGATGGTTCAATGAGCCACTCTGTCTACAGGAAAGCCACCCATACGGATGCTTACCTAAAACTGGATTCCCACCACCATCCATCCCAGAAGAATTCCCTCATCAAGACTATACCATAGAGCCCAATGCATATCCGACCAGGAACACATTGTCAGTGAACTCAAACATGTACGCCAAGCTCTTAAGGCTAATGGTTACTCCGACTACACAATCCGCAAAGCCATCACTCCAACCATCAAGAAGGATCCTGTTGAGGAACCTTTCAAGACCATCACCTTAGCCTACATTGCTGGGGTCACAAAAAAGATATCCAAAATCCTGATAAAACACAAGATCCAGGTCCGATTCAACACATTACATGAAATCCGTGATCTAGTCCTGTCTGTAAAAGATGTGGTTCCAGACATACAGTACCCTGGCGTCTACAAACTAAGTTTCCTCTGTGGTAGCAGTTACATTGGAGAAACCAAACGACATGTCTCGGACCGCATCCGTGAACATAAAGCAGACTTGAAACACGGGAGGACAAACACCTCGGCTGTGGCAGATTACTGTTACAATTCAGTGGGCTCACATGATATTGACTTCTCCAAGACAGAGGTTCTCTGCAAGCCATCTGGCTACCATGAGAGATTCATTCATGAGGCGTTCCACATATACAAACACAGACAATTTCAACCGAGAAGATGGATTCTGGCTTAGCAATCATTGGAAGGACGTAATAAACCATTTCGGATCTTAACTGATTGTGTTCACGTTTACGGTGACTTTCAGACCGCGTTCCACTCACTGGCATTGTATTCTCCGCAGGGAATGGATTCTTTGCTTCGCTGCAAGTTTCCCCTCACTATTCTCCCATTGACATATTTCGTTGCTTCCTCTTAGTATCTTTCACACGACGGTCAATGGTACAGTGTATAATAACAAATAGTATAAAATGTATATGCTTAATACAATGTACAAAGTAATATATAGTATCGTAATTGTATAGTGAATATACAGCAGTGTGATATACATTAGGGTGGGTAGAATAATACATAGTGTAATATTACAATGTATAAGGTTTAGGGTGGTTTATAGCAATACAGTATATAATTTAATGTTGGGTTTGTCTATGGCAGTATATAGTACGGTGTAGACTCGTGTGATGTAAGAGGATAAAGTTTAGATGGAAGCATATTATATTTTTTACGACGTAGAATTGTAATGTATTACTTACTGTTAGTAACTCAGCTTATTGTAGAGTATATTTAGTATACTGATGATACTATGTAGTTTATACTTTAGTTGTTTACGTGTTGGTTTTAGTTACTGCAGCTACATACTATTAAAACTCCTTCCCTTTATTAATGCTACCCCTATCCCCTCCCTTTGATGCTGCTAATCCTGCATAATGCACGGGCATAAGTAGTACTAATCACATACCTGCATTTCCCATATCCCCTCCCTTTGATGCTGCTAATCCTGCATAATGCACGGGCATAAGGAGTACTAATCACATACCTGCATTTCCCATAAATAAATTCCTCTTGATATGCGCCCTTTCCCCCCCTTCCTACCCAGCTTAAATATATGCTCCAAGCATGGTGCTGTTTCATTCAGACGCTGTCGCCTCGACAGACCTGGTTTTCACCTGAAGACGGCTGCTTGCGTTGTGGCCGAAACGTCGTGAGAATTATTTTATTATGTTTTATTTTTATTATTTTATTACTTCCCTTCTACGTGACTTTACCGAAAGAACCAAGAAGATGAATCCCTGCAGTCACGAAAGCTTTAAATCGAAATTTAAATAATATCGTTTGGTCTTTCATTTACAGATGGAGTAGGTGTGTATCAATTCAGGTTGTGAATATAAAATAATAATTTTAAAGCAGATTAACTTTGAGCCAATGTTGTTCACACACGGAGAGAACAATAGTGGGCCAATTTTGGAGCCTTGAGGACCTCCCTTAGTATTAAGGAGTAGTTTGAAAAAAAAACCTATATAGTTTCTGTCCCCAAAGATAGTTTGAAAACTGTCCGATTGATGTTTCTCAGATCATGCTGCGGTCTTTCAATCTGAAAGTTGGGTTGCATTGCCATCTGCTTTGATTTTACACACAGCCTTGGAATTGATTTTTACGGAGACCTGGTAGCAGTGTTGCTGTGTTGAACTTCAATACAGTAACCTGCACTGTTTTGATAATAGGCCCAAGGCTAACTGGTAGACACGTCTGGTGGCGACGTCCTTTGGCAACGCGAGCTGGCAGTGATATATTTAAAGATTAATAATGAATGTTTTAAAGTTATGGCTCCACCTGCCCCTGTAGTGTACTGGTGATTGTGCTGCCTTTATTGCAATGACAGAAATGGAAGCGGAGTCATTGGAGTGCGGTAATATAATTTTGTCATTCACGAAGTTGCAAACTCATGTTGACCGGCCCAGGGAACACATCGCTCGCCTGTATTCGGGCCGGAACGATGCATTCATTCGTTGATTAATATCAAATCTCCGATACCTGCATTGTGTCAGGTGTGCGATAATCAGTATTGTTCTATCACAAGCTCACGTGATGCCTGCAGACACTCCATAGCATCCATTAAGAATCTCTTCCACAGAGCTATCGGCAAGTCTACTCAGTTTCACATACTCCTGTACCACATCAGCTCCATCACTTCTGCAGCCCATGCCGCGCCCGTTTAGCTCCTTCTATTTGGCCAAACAAAAGCTGCTTGGGCATGCGGTGGCTAGGCATGCGCGCTACATGACCCAGCCAACACAGCCTCGCCTGCTGTAAGAGCTCACTGATGGGACCATGTCCAGATCTTTCAAGGATCTGTAAGCTCTTCGCACAATCCAGTCTGGTTTAGCCCAGGATGGATCGTAGACTGGCCAGCCTGAATGTTTCGAGCTAGCTGGAGCAGGTGTTATTGTAAATGCATCCATGATCCATGTTTAAGCAAGCAAATTCTGGTCTGGTTTTGACCATCTTGGTCCTATCAGCAGTCTGCACTGCTATATGAGTCAGTCTGTGTGTCTGTGTGTGGGTGCAGCTTCAAGGCAGCTTTGTTCCCTGCCAGCGCGAGGAGGAGGATGTATCCGTGGACAGCCAGCCGACCGTGCGCAACCACGACCGGCTGCTACATCGCGTGTGCGAGCACCTGGACCACGCGCTGCTGCACGGGTCCGTGAGTGTGAGAGTGTGTATCAGTGAGTGCAGTGTGTGTCCGTGAGTGTCAGTGTAACTCAGTATCTGGTGCGGTGTGTAAACATCGCCACTAGGGAGACAAAGGCGGCCGGGCGTAGTGTTGGTCACCCACCCTCTCGTGTCCTGTGCCGGCCTTAATAGGTGCTTGCTAACAGCACTTGTCCATTAAGTCTGGTATGTGTGTGTGGTCAGGTTGCAGCACATCCCTGCCGGCTACTGGCCGCTGGTCATGCACTTCACGCGCTCCGATGCGGTGGCGACGATCTCTGCCCTGCATCATGTGACCACGAGCTTGGGCCGGAGTGAGTTCCCGCGGTGTCACCCGCCAGGATCGATCACGAACCGGCGCGTTCGGCCACTTCCACATGCGTGCTCTCCATTGTCCTGCAATTGAGAGGAAACCAGAGAACCCGGAGGAAACCCATGCAGAACAGGGGGAGAACGTACCGACTGCTCGCACACTCGCCGAGCTGGATCTTTAACGTCCACTGTAAAGCAGACGGCTTGTAGTCATTTTACGATTAATGCACCCACAGTGATAACTAGGGCAGCCTGCCGAGTTGGAGCTGCGAATCTCTGAAATAAGGGGCGAACATGCTACAGCTTAGCTGCATCACCACCCGGATATAAAAAAAAAAAAAGTTTTTTCTTTTTCAATTTGACGATATCATTTTATTTGACTATTCACGCTGGCAACGACGCACGAGGGGGTTGTTGGTCAGTACCACACCCAGCTGCGTTTGTGTCTCTAGTGACAATGTTGACACATCACACAAGGTAATCATTTGAGGCTGAGTCGACCTAGGGGAGGCCAAGGATTGCTCAGATATTCGTCACCGGTGTTGGAATTAAACTTGTGTCATTGGGTTTATGATGCAGTGCACGCATCTCACTCTCTGTAGAACAGGGGGAGAACATACTAACTCCATGCAGAGAGGTTCCCAAATTAGAAATAGAACCCAGGGCCTTCTTGCTTTGAGGCCGAGTGTTATCACTGCGCCACCACCTTTCTGCCCAAGATGATGTTGCAGCATCACATTAACCTGTTATCTATGTGGTTGTCTTGATCATCAGCAATGGGTAGTCAAAAGGCTGGCTGGAAGTGGACCTGGCTACACCACCCTATTGTGTGCCGTGCCAGCTGTCATATGTGCTCCTTAAGAGCACTTTCCTCGAGAGTTCATTAAGGCTATAGGGGAGATCTTTATCTTGTATCTGTGTATGCGTGTGTGGTGTTGCAGTAGTGCAATGGTTAGCACGCTGCACTATGAAGCCGACGACCCGAATTCGATTTCCGCTCAAGGCCAAGACCAGTGACGATTATCTGAACCGGTCCTGGGCCTTCCTGGGGTCGTCTCAGCCTCAAATGTGTACCTGGTAGTGCGATGTGTAAACATCGCCACTCGGGAGACAAAGCCATCCGGGTGTGGTGTTGGCCACCCACCCCCTCGTGTGCCGTGCCGGCCTTAATTTGTGCTCGTATGCCCCAACAGTCTGTTAAAGCTATACAAGGGACCTTTATGTTTTGTGTGGTGGTGCGTTCAGGCCGCGCGTGGCTGTACCTGGCGCTGAACGAGAGCAGCCTGGAGAGCTACCTGCGTCTCTTTAGTGAGAACCCGGTGCTGTTGCGTTCCCACTACAGCGGGTAACTCGCTCACTTGCACACCCCCACCACGCACTTCCGAGCCATGATGACATCACCAAGGCTGCCACTTGCCACTGAGTCACTGTGGCATCACCACGGCCGCGACGTGACCTTCTGCTTCTGTGCGCACCTGGCACACCGCGTCCACTATACCTCTCGCTTTGAGGCATGCGGTAAACGACTCTGACGGGGCGCGTGCGCTGTTGTGTGCGTGTGGCGCTAGCAGAAGCGCGTTGGTGTGCAGCTCGGACCACCTCAACCTCTTCCTCACGCTCGTCTCCGGCCTCGAGTTCATTCACTTCGAGCTGGAGCTGGTGTGTACACCCGATTGCACACACGCAAATACACACACCTATTGAGGACTCGGGTCTGCCAGACACCGGCTGTTGCATCTCATCCATCGCACTGTGTTCAACCACCAACACCACACCGTAGGTCACAAATACATACTCAGCCTCTCACTCACTCACCCACTTTCCCCCTCACTCCTCACGCTGCACGTCACAACAGTACTCTGCTACTCGCCACACTTTTCGCTTGTTCCCTCGCACTGCTCGACTGTGGAATTCCCTCCTCCCACTATCATCATTATTCTCATCTACTTTCCCAAAGCTATTATAACCGTAATAACCTTGGTCAATTCAGGAATTGCGTTACTTTCTCATTTTTTACATCTTTGATACGAGTGCTGTTTTATTTCTGGCTGTGTGGCGTTTTGGGCCTTGGAGCTTATGCTCAGGGGTCCCGGCTCCATTCTGATTGGCAGCAGCAGGGAAGCCTGTCATGTTCGTGGGGTTCATGGGGCCTGAACCCGTGGGAGACCGGGATCTCGTCCCTTCACGTGCAGCGCAAGCCGCTCGCGAGCATTGGCGTGGGGAACGTCTGGGACACTGCGAACAGACCTCTTCCTTCACGTGGATGTCTCTCCACATTGCCTGTACTAAGTGCTTCTCGGCTGTTCAGCTGATGGGATGTGTAAAAATACTCGTATTTGTTAATGTGGATAAAACACGAAAAGGTGAAAGTGGACGGCAGGGTGGCGGCAGCACAGTGGTGGCTCTTGCGGCTCACAGCAAGAAGAACGTGGGTTCGATTCCTGACTTGGGCGCATCTGTGTGTAGAGTTTTTATGGTTTCCCCCAGTTCTGCATGAAATTCCTCAAGGTTCTCCACATTCCTCCGAAATATGCTGAGAAATCGCCTGCAAATTACCCAATTCCGGATCATGCACAGCAGCAACATCACTCCCTACTGAAAAACACGTGGCAGGACTCTCCAGAAAACGAGGCTTTCCTGCCTGAATGAACGCGTTAATGACGCAGGGGAAAACCACGTGACATGCATGCCCGCTCCTCTCGTGCGCTCGCAGGATGCGCCTTACCTGGACCTGGCAGCGTATATGCCCGATCCGTACCGCCCCGTGCTGCCCGATGACCTGCACGGCCACTCCCCGTCATGCCGGGGCTCGTGCCGTGGCTCGTGCCAGGGCGGCTGCTCCGACAGCGCCTCCCTCGAGTCCGGGAACTCGGCGAACCTGGAGTGGGATGACTCGGCCATCGCTCCGTCTAGCGAAGGTGCCGGTGGGCGGATGCACTCCGGCAGGTTTTTGGCAGTGGCAGGACATCGGATTTCTAGCTCTCCCGCGTGCTCTCGGGTCGTTGTTGTCATTGAGTGCGATGCCCGACGTTTTGCGTCACATTTTGGGGGCTTTGAGCAGGAATTGAATTCAGTTCCTGGGGGGATTGAGTGCGTGGTGATGGTTGCGTATATATTTGAGTGACGGTGATTGTTTGCACGGGCGGTGTTTTAATCTGAGAAGTGCATATGGAGTGGTGCCGCCACCTGTCTGGATGTGAACGGGACAGTTGGGGAACCCGGCATCATCTTATTTGTATCGAGAGATCTGATACCGATGATGCCGAGTTGAACTTGATTGCAGGAGAGTGCACAGCTTTGATAATAGACCTTGGCTGACCAAGGATCATGTGGGGGTTTTCTCTGTGTAAAATCATCGTAATTTAAATGTGTAACGCGCCCCTGCACAGTGTTCTCGCTCTCGAAAGCGACTCGGGAGAGGTGTGAGCAGGTACCACAGATGAGCGGGAAAGGCAGCAGCGAGACGGTGCAAGCCAGTGCCAACAATTATCCAAGCTCTGTGTTCCTTTATATGGATGTAATGTCGGTACACTGGTGAAGCATAACACACCGGTCCTCATAAGACAGTCTGACGATGTCGCTGTTGCCCCTGAGTGAGCTGCAGTCTCTACATCAGAAGTTGCCTTCGATTCAGCAGCTGCTTTCCCATTCAAACGTGTAATGCTACGAGCCGTAATCTTTTGATGCCACCGTCCGCCATGAAATTTTTTCAGAAATGAATCGAGGAACCATTCGACCAAGTCTAGGACACCTGTCAAATCTGCCTTTGGAACACAGTGCCAATTGTCATCAGGCTGGGTGTTATACGGCAACAGACCATGAAGCTTCCTGTTTAGCCGCTCATAACATTCGTCTTCCGACTGCTTCGACATCAGGAGGACTGATTTTAACGCACACCCCGCAAAATTTTCTGACCGGGATTGTGAATCGCAGGGAAAAAAGAATTGCGAAAAATTTGCTTTTATACTGCGCACCATCGGTGCACCACCAATACATTCAAATATCGAGGTGTTATTGACCAATCAATGAGTGTTTACACATGGGGAGGAAACCGAAGCACTCGGAGGAAACCACACATGCGAGGGGGCAACATTGTATCCCATTTTGTGTGCGTGTAACATTTGTGTGAGCCACCAACCCTGCGCAGTTCTGATTCTCGACCAGTGCCAACGGAGGAACACGTCAACGTTTGTTCGGCAGTGGAGCAGGTGGCGGCCGTGTCGCGGTTGTGCTGATGCGGAGCGTGGTTGCGTATATTCATGCGGCGTGTGTGTGTAACACGTGTGTTGTAGATTTTGACTTCCAAGACGTTTTCGAGCCTTGCATGTGTGTCACGGACGCCACAGGTGGGACTGGCTCCACAGCCCAAACCACGCACGTACGCATACACACGCACAAAGACAACAATCTCCCGTGTCGCCTTAACATAATTTGCTGTTAGGGAGTAGCACTTACGAAGGCCGGCTCGGGACATGTAGGGTGGATGGCCAACACCACGTCCAGCTGCTTTTGCCTCTCGAGTGACGATGTTTACACATCACACCAGGTACTCATTTGAGTTTGAGTCTACCTAAGGGAGGCCCAGGACTGATTCAAATAGTCATCACTTGTGTTGGCCGTAAGCAGGGATTTAACTTGGGTCACCAGATTCGTAGTGCAGCATGCTAACTGCTGTGTCATTACTTCCCGCAACCACACATACACGAAGACAATCCCCTATATAGCCTTAACAGACTGTTGGGGCAAGTGCTGTTTGCGAGCACCTATGAAGGTCAGCAGGGCACACAAGGGGGTGGGTGGCCAGCACCACGTCCGGCCGCCTTTGTCTCCCCAATGTCATAGTTTACATACCACACCAGGTACTCATTTTAGGCTGAGTCGACCTAGGGCAGGCCCAGGATCGATTCAGAGAATCGCATTGGTGTTGGCCCTGAGCTGGAATCGAACTCGGGTCGCCAGGTTCTTAGTGCTCCGGTTAGCGCTCTGCACTATGAACATGCACATATACACGCACGCATGCATGCATACTTACACATATACATGCTTGCAGATGGTGCTGCCCGTGTGTTGCACTAACATCCCCTCTGTGGCACTTTTTATTCCTTCCAAGTCATTCGGGCGGCAGGGCGGTGGCACAGTGGAGACACTCGCGTCTCGCAGCAAGAAGCGCCTTGGTTTTATTCTCGACTTGGGTGCCTCTCTGTGTGGAGTTTGTGCGTTTTCCCCCTTTTTCTGCATGGGTTTCCTCCGGGTTCTCCACTTTCCTCCCATACCTAAAAACACCACATGTACTATAACCGGTATTCGTCAATACGTCTGAAACCTGAATAATAACCTGCAAGTTACTCAATTGTGATGACACAGCATCAACATTGCCCGCTACTGTGAAAACATGGCAGGACCCACCTGAAAACGAGCCTTGAGACCCAGTGAGGCTTTCGTGGGTAAAACGAGTGAAATAATAATCCATGCTTGTGGCTCAGAGCAGTAGAGTGAGCAGCTAGTAATCGGAAGGTTGCAAGTTCAAATCCTGGTTGGGGGTCAACTCGGCCAATTGTCATCGCTCCTGGTTTGATAAAGTTGTCCTTTCGATTATTAGAATAATAATGATAATAATACACCTCCGGTGGTGCCATATGTGTGAACGCGTGCCACCAGCAGACACCGACAGCCTCGCCGAGCCCCTGCACAGCCCCGACGCTGCGGGCATTATGGGCACCATGGGCACCGCAGGCACCACTGCCGCCAAGCGGGAGAGAGAGGGCGGCGTTACCGCGGCCCCCCGGGGGTCGTGGCACCGGCAGAACCCCTTCTCGTCACCCAACCTCGGCTCGCGCGGTGACCCCACGGACGAGGTCGGCGGCAGAGCCATTCCGGCGAGTTCCGGCGACGCCGACCACGACCACTCCCCGCTGGAAGTCATCCGCCTGACCACCAGAAGGCGCAAGCGCCACGGCAACGGGAGGTCCCGTGGCGCGGACGGGCAGCGGCACGGCAGCGGTGGCAGCAACGCTTCGCTGCCGTCGGAGGCGGTGCTGCAGCCGGACATTGTCCTGCAGTGGGACGCGGTGAAGCGGCCAAGCAGCACGCTGCAGCCCGACGTGATACTGCAACCGAGCGCGCTGCGGCAGGCGGGCAAGGTGGGCGAGTTGGGCGGAGCCCAGGAGCCGGGTGACGAGTTGCAGCCAGACGCAGCACAGCACGTGGACACGGAGCCGCGGCAAGTCGGCCTGGCATCGGGCAGCGAACAGCGAGGCATTAACCTGCCCGGTTTGGAAATGTCACGAGCGAAGGGTCAGATGCAGTCAAGAAACCTGCGTCTGAACATCGCCAATCCCCTGAATGACGACGAGGGGGCGGAGCATGTTGGGTGTGCGGGTAATGGCGACGCGGAGGAGGAGGGGGAGGAGGGGGATGGAGAGCAGCATCAGAGCGTGCACGCGCTTCTCAGCTCGCACCTCTCCAGTGCGCAGAGGTACACGCTGGCCCACACAGACGAGGAGCAATGGACGCTGGGCGACGATGCCATGGATTCGGACGGAGTACGACCCTCAGAAGATGGACATTTGGACAAACTGCACAACCACACCGAGCACAATAGACCCTCCGGTGTGGCAAGCTTAGTTGACTGTTACGGTGAGCTGGGCTGTGGGGTGGACGATGGTAGCGCAGGAGACTGCCGTTGTCAGAATGGAAACTGTGCGCACGATTGCGGTGGCTCTATTCATCGAGACAATGTGGAGGCTGAGAATGGAACAGCTTTGACAGAAGACAGAGATGCGGATGGCGAAGACACTGAGACGGACGACGCCGCGATGGGGAGGCCGCTACAGCACCGCGCCGAGATCAGGTACCGGTGTAAAACCCACTGTCGGGCCCACTTGTTTCCCAGACATGTTAGAAGAGGATATCGCCTGTAACAATTTTTTTTTATATACGGTGCTTGTTTAAATGCCTCGACAACTCAAACAATCATCTCATTTCAAACATTCATAGGGCACCCCCATAGGCAGCTGCCCCTGTGCGGCACAAGACAACTCAGAACCTAGCCTGCGAGCGGGTGTTTGTCTGACAGTGGTAGACGATGGTTGCTGCTGCTGTGTGCAATCCCAGTTGAGTAAATTGCAGGTAATTTTTTTTTTACGTTAGCAAATTCGGGACCGTGTCGTCAGCACAACGGCCTACTCATTGCCAATGATGACACAGGCTCTTTAACGTCCACTCCAAAGAAGCAGAAGGCCCGTAGCATTTTACGGTTAGTGCGCCTGCAGTATTAACCAGGGCGGCCTGCCCGGTACTCAACCGCGAACCTCTGCAACAAGCAGCTAACACTCTACCACTGCCCATCTTAAGCAAACCATATAATCCGTAGACAAACAAATCTCTTTAGTATCTCAAGAGACACAGCGCCTAGGCACTGGACAGGAGTATGAGGGGTGCCGTGTGTGCAGACAGTGAGTGATGTTATTCTGTTGGCAGCGTGGACAACAATCTGCTGCTCCTGCTCATGCTGCACGTGTTCCGGGAAGACGAAGAGCAGCTGTACAAGGTGAGAGGTCGCACTACCATGGTGGATAAGAGACGACCTCGCCTGGTATGCAGGAGGTCGTGGGTTAAATCCCGACCTTGACGCCTATATATTTGGAGTTTGCATGTTTCTCTCTTCCCGTGGTCGAATGGATTTTTCTCTGGGTCCTTCGGTTATTCGCTCCACTTTTAGAAACGTGCATTAAAAGTATTTGGCTGCTAGACATCTCCATATGATAAGCCAATTCGTTGAGCTATATTTTGTGGCTTCTGAAAAAGAGCTGTACAGCTCAGTGGGCCTTACCTGATAAAAAATAAATAGTTTAGTTTTAATTTAGTTGATGTGGCTGCCCCCGTACGCTTTGAAACAGTCTGGCCTCCGCCAGAGACAGCCTTCTTCATGGCCTAGTCTCAGCAGTGTCAGACCAGAGAACGCCAAAAGGCGAACAATTCAAATACAATGCACGTATCGGGGCATTTATAGATCGGGGTGAGCAGATATATCATTGGATATTTTTGCCAGTGGTGTTTGATCATCTTAATACCTGTTTTGTTGCCAGAAAGGGTGAAACCTATTCTTATTTTTTCATCAATTTGATAATGGCAAAAAGGTCCCATAGATACTCTGCCGCACCACATGTGACCTGCCAATAGGCTAACTGTTGAACCACTTGTGATGCTGCTGGATGGACATAGGCAGTGGGGGGGTGGAATTTAAGGAACTCGTCCCCATTTTTTCAACTTCTATGCTGGGAGATGGCGTCGAACCGCCCACCTCTGGTTTACAAGCATCCTGTATGCTGGGGCGTCTCTAGAGCGCTAAACATCACACACCGTCTCAAAACATTTGAAAGGGCACATCCAGTGGTAGCTGTCCTTGTGTGGCACAAGGTGACTTCGGTACCCGGCCTGCAGGTGGGCAGCAGTCTTCCAGAGTAGGGGGGCGACTATTTCCGCTGGGTGTAATCCCAAATTGGGAGCGGTTTGCGGTGTATTGTTTGAATTTTGCCAGCTTGGACTGTGATGCCGGCACACAGTGGCCCGGTCGTTTCCACTCGCGTCTTTAACATCCACCATGAAGCAGATGGTGCGCGTATTGCTCCGATCAATGCACCTGCAGTATTAACCGGGATGGCCTACCGGAATAAAACCACGAACCTCTGCAATAAGCGGTGAACGCACTACCGTGTCGCCACCACCACCAGCCCCGACACGGCAGGCGACTGGGGTTAGCCGTGCATCGCTACATTCACCTGGCCCGGGGCTAAGGCTGCGGGCTGATTGTCGACGGTCGTTGTTGTTGTTGTCGCTGTGCTCATTCTGGTGAGGTTCCCCCGGGTCCCTCTCCCCTAGATGCTGAAGCTGACAACGGGGCACGCGGAGGGTGCGGTACGGTCCTTATTCGTGGTGCTCACCGACTGCCATGTCTACCTCGTGCGCAAGGGTATGCACAGCAGGGCGGTCGCGCTGTCAGAATACATCCCCACACATACAACGGTATAATGACCCCGTGTTACCGCCAATTCGATTCGCGCTTACTTCTCCAGGAACGCATTTTCAGCACTTGCCGAGGTTTGCCTGTACTGGTCTGCCTGTTCACTTTAATATTTTAAACCACCAGTTTCCCCCATGTCTCTGTATTCTTTATACAGTAGTACTTTTCTTATTAAATGTCCTGTATTAAATTAAACTACTTATGCCTGGTCTTAGGCCCACATATTAAAAGGATTCGTCTTTGAGAAAAGACCTGGAGTCTCAATTGAACATGGCTGCTCAGGTCTCTCTCGATATGTCCTCTCCTCGTGACCAATTACACAAAATGGGCCGTGCCAGTGTCCCTCATGAGCGATGTTTTATGGGTCAACCCATTCCTTTGTTACACTCATATGAACAAAGTATTGACAATAACCCCAGCAATAATGTGATTCGACCACAGGCAGCAATGTCCTATTTGTACCGTGGTGTCCGGAACTGAAAGCAATACTCCGTGGGGTTGTACGAGTGCATCGCACAGCCTTAGCGTTGCATTTATATTCGACAATTGTCACTCCTGCACCTGAACTTTTTATGGAATTTCTTTGTTATTTTTCTGCTTTTCAAAATGCGGATGAGGACACGGGCACAATGAAGGTACAATAAGATGACATCGGATCCGGACTTACCGGTCAGATTGCCGCTGCCGCCAGCCAACAATGGAGGTCTAGGAAATGAGGGCACGGGGGGCCTCGACGCTTCTGACCAGACAGCATGAGTACCACCGCCGGCGGCTCACGGCGGTCCGCGTGCTCTGCGTTATAGGGACGGCGGAGAAGCCGTTTGCGGTAGAGAGAGCCACCCCCTACCACCAGCTGGCGGCGGTGCGCGTGGGCGTGCACGGGCAGGCGGTGCGGCTGGACGACGCCTCCCAGCGCCAGCACACTTGGATCGACACCGCCGAGCACGGCCTCACTGAGTACGTCCACCGGCGCGTGCAATTAAATCACGAGTGTCAAGTGCGTATACGTGGCGAGCGTCGTGTGTGATTACGTGCGTCGCGTGTGATTGCGTGTGCGGCCGTGTTGTGATTTGCGTACGTGCGTCCATGTTGTGATTGCATGTGATTGCGTGCTCTCCCAGGTTCCTGCTGCTGTCTCTGACGGCGGCGCTGGTGCGCGGCTGCCGGGAGCCACCGTACCCACGCACCCACACGGAGACGTCCGAGACGCACCCGACCCTCATGGCCTTCGTCGCGCGCGAGACACCGTGCCCGGTGCGTGTGTGCGTGTGTGCGTGTGTTGCGTGTGTTGCGTGTGTTGCGTGTGTTGCGTGCGTTGCGTGCATTGCGTTGTGTGTGCTTGTATTCGTGGTCATGTTGTAAATGTGTAATGGGTTCAATTTAGGCGCACACACTTCTTGGGAGGCAACACTCATTTATTAATTAACACAACGTTTACTCAACAGTTACTCTTACTCTACACATAGGGTGGTGACCACCGACCTACGCTAGCTAACACACAATTGTATTTTAGTCTCTCTCCAGCGTGACCCAGCCAGGTGGCTGCTGGCAGTCCGCTCACTGTAGGTCTTCTCTTCTGGCATCTTCACGAGGTGTCTTCATTCTTCTCAGGAACAGCCCTGCTCTGCCTTCACACCACCCTTATATCTCGTCTCTCTGGCGTGGCCGGCTCCGCCCAGGCCACGCCTCCCTTCCCAGGCCACGCCTCACTTCCCAGGCCACGCCTCACTTCCCCCACCTCTGGGAAGGTCCGGATCCCTCCAGCACGTGACCCCCCAGGCACCCCCTTGGGGCCCCCAGCCCTCGTACGGGCCAACACAGTAGTGACCGTTCTGTCACTACATCACCCCCTCCTGTATAAACACACAGCCGTCCCCGGCTGTAACACAACTGTGAACATCGAAAAGGTGTGCCTCCGAACCAGCAACATCAATAAATGACCGGCGACCGATAAGAAATACAATCACGTAATATATACAGAATCGACGAGGGTAAAAGGGAACCGCATAGAAAACGGGGAATTAACAACAAATATACATGAAAACTGGCTAACCCACTTACGCTACAGCACAGCCCCCCCACCGTTAGAATCACGCATGCAATGACAGTCACCCGTTAGCACCCCCCCGCCTTTCCGACGTGGCGTCACAACCAGTAGCACGCGTCGGCCATATCGGGGGGGGGGAATTTCCATGTTACCACCCCACCGCCTTTCCGACGTGGCGTCACAACCAGTAGCACGCGTCGGCCATATCGGGGGGGGGGATTTCCATGTTACCCCCCCACCGCCTTTCCGACGCGGCGTCACAACCAGTAGCACACGTCGGCCATATCGGTGGGATTTTAACCCAGTCTCTCTCCAAGACTCGCATCGCAGCATATAGCTGTACCGACCGAGCTGAGATGACCCAGTCTCTCTCCCAGACTCGCATCGCAGCATATAGCTGTACCGACCGAGCTGAGACGACCCATCGTTCACTCACTGCACAACATGCACCCTAACAACTGAGGGAAACAGTCTCAACGTAACAGGCCAACTCCACCCGAACCTTACGAATCTCCAGCCCACTGTTTCAACGCGCCTCAGAGGGTCTCAACCTCCGAGCCGTCAGGTCAAGCTGTCAGCCATAGCATGACGGGACCACCCTCCCTGAGCCATGTGAGCGCACAGCCCACAAGGCTAGACAAGCCACAGAGTGTCTCGCTCTCCGGGCTGTCAGGTCAAGCCGTCAGCCATTGCATGACGGGACCACACACTCCGAGCCATGTGAGCACACAGCCCACTAGGCTAGACATACCACGGAGTGTTTCGCTCTCCGGGCTGTCAGGTCAAGCCGTCAGCCATTGCATGACGGGACCACACTCTCCGAGCCATGTGAGCGCACAGCCCACTAGGCTAGACATGCCACGGAGTGTTTCAATCTCCGGGCTGTCAGGTCAAGCCGTCAGGCACAGCATGACGGGACCACACTCTCCGAGCCATGTGAGCGCACAGCCCACTAGGCTAGACATACCACGGAGTGTTTCAAGCTCCGGGCTGTCAGGTCAAGCCGTCAGCCATAGCATGACGGGACCACACTCTCCGAGCCATGTGAGCGCACAGCCCACTAGGCTAGACATACCACGGAGTGTTTCAAGCTCCGGGCTGTCAGGTCAAGCCGTCAGCCATAGCATGACGGGACCACAACGTTCATGTTAGACACGCAACACTCACTGGGCCATGCTGGTCAGGACCTGCGCCCCAAGATAGTGACAGCCAGCAGCACAATTCCAAATCCCTGGCAGCATGTCACCATCGCAATTTAACACCATCACAACACATACAATTTGAATTATGATCCCCCACAGAACTAATCCAATGCCGAACAGGTACGCACAATTTTTTTTTTTTTTGACGATCCCGAATATTCAATGGTCACAACAATACACCTCACATCCCGTATCCGTACACATCATCTCCGAGACTCGCATTGCAGCAATGCAGCTGTACCAACCGAGTGGAGAGAGCAATGCAATTTGACGGCAATTAACGGAAACGCACCCCCGATCCATGTAGAACACAAGGAGCATTCCCGCACAAAAGACATCATCTGTGCAACAACGGACAGGAACCAACCAGTGAGTTTGAAACAAACCGAACCTGTCACTTCAAAATCCCCTTCAACATTAACCATGGGACTCAGGGCATTCGAATTTTGAGAGAAAAAAACTGTACACAAACCCCAAGAATCGCCGAATTGATTAATACAGTATATGCAGTATACGAAGTTCGTACAGTCAATCATTTGGCACAATGCACCATCCAGTCCCCACATGGCAACACACACAATCAATACTCCAGACAATCCGTACATAGTAAATAATCACAAGCAAGTACCCAACATTCCATACACTGTTAACAATGACGATCAAAGTTTCTGACAGTTGCAAATGACAATCACGAGCGAAACTCCATACAGTATACACAATAACAATGGCGATTTCGCAACACAACGATGTAACAACACGAGTCATTAACACGGCAACATACAGGATATCAACGGAGCTCGGGACACCAACAACGAATTAATCATTAACTACCCCCAGAAGATACCGATCTCGACGCCGTAATTAACAACAAACACTGGTCGCCGCGTCAATTTCTCACGCACACAACCGGACGAACACGTTCCGCAACCCAGCGAGTAAAAAAAAACCACCCGCGATCGCAACCCGGCACACGTAAGATGGGTGAAGTTATTATTATTATTTTTATTGGGGCCGGGTGCTTGTCAAGTCACAACTCGCCTGGCAAACTGTGAATAGCGGAGGGCGGCAAGGTGGAGCACTGGAACGGCCTGAAGAATCTTTGATGGTGAACACGGCCTGCTCTTGCGAACCCATCCACCTCTCACGCTCGAGCAGAAGGCTGGAACTCCCCCTCTGCAGGCGTTGATGTCGGCGGGAGCGGCATTTCGGCAGCAGGAGCGGTGTTTTGGCGGGAACAGCGCCCCGACCAGCCGCCAAAATGGCGGGAACGGCGTTTTGGCGGGAACAGCGCCCCGACCAGCCGCCGAAATGGCGGGAACGGCGTTTTGGCGGGAACAGCGCCCCGACCAGCCGCCAAAATGGCGGGAACGGCGTTTTGGCGGGAACCGTGCCCCGACCAGCCGCCGAAATGGCGGGCCCACCGCGTGGCCCGCATGCCCGGGCCTCCCCCGCCAGCCACCGCAGCGACGATGGTGTCCTCTCGCCGCGGCTCCGTCGCTCCGTTCCCGATGGCGGCGAAGCAGCAGTGCGATGCAAGTCCCGCCGCTCCGCGTGCAGCGCCATCTCTCTCTCTCTCTGTCACCGGGGCTGCCATCCCCGGGGCTGTCCGAAGGATGGTCGTCACACCATCCCCGTCGTACGAAGACGTCCAGATGAGTTTTATATTTGTTTTTCGTGTGCCCATTTTACTTCCCTAGGATAACACCTAGCAATATTTATTTTTCCACAACTTCTGACACCAAATGTAATGGGTTCAATTTAGGCGCACACACTTCTTGGGAGGCAACACTCATTTATTAATTAACACAACGTTTACTCAACAGTTACTCTTACTCTACACATAGGGTGGTGACCACCGACCTACGCTAGCTAACACACAATTGTATTTTAGTCTCTCTCCAGCGTGACCCAGCCAGGTGGCTGCTGGCAGTCCGCTCACTGTAGGTCTTCTCTTCTGGCATCTTCACGAGGTGTCTTCATTCTTCTCAGGAACAGCCCTGCTCTGCCTTCACACCACCCTTATATCTCGTCTCTCTGGCGTGGCCGGCTCCGCCCAGGCCACGCCTCCCTTCCCAGGCCACGCCTCACTTCCCAGGCCACGCCTCACTTCCCCCACCTCTGGGAAGGTCCGGATCCCTCCAGCACGTGACCCCCCAGGCACCCCCTTGGGGCCCCCAGCCCTCGTACGGGCCAACACAGTAGTGACCGTTCTGTCACTACAAATGCATGCGTAGCGTGTTATTGTGTACGTGAACTGGTCATGGGCCTCCCCTAGGTCGACTCATCCTCAAATGAGTACCTAGTGTGGTGTGTGAACATCACCACTGGTGAGACAAAGGCGGTCGGTCTGTTCAGGCTATACGAAGGGTATTTGTTTTTGTTTGTAATGTGTTCCTGTATATGTGTAGTGAGTCCAACTGAGTCACAGATGTTATCTTGGGAGCAACACTATTTATTCACACAACAGCACAAACACAGCACAACTTATGCTCGGGTCTCGAATGCCCATCTAACCACACTACGGCAGAACTAGACGCGGTTCGCTATCCCGGTCCGGACCACAAGCTGGGTCCCGGACCGCGTGGCTAGAGGCTTCTTCTCCCCTACGTGGATCTTCGAACACCAACACACGAAGAACCCCGATCTCCCCACGGAGCTCTCGTTATATGTCCCCGGGGCTGGGGCTGGCTCCGCCCTTAGCCCCGCCCACCTTCCATGCTTCTCGAGCTCCTTCTCGAATGTTCCCGAGAGCTCCTCGGAACCACGTGACCGCCTCTCGGCCCCCGTCCACCGGTGCCCCCCCCAGTATCGTCCGGTCACGTGACAACAGGTCAGCCAGAGTATCATGCCCCAGAGTAACCCTGGCTGGCTGACGCTCGCTCTCGCTCCCTCACTGGTAGCCGGCACCGCACACTGTTCGCGGTGCCTCCACACTAACCAGTGCTCACCCAACCACCGCTAGTGTTGGTACTGCAGCCCGCAACCCGGGCTGCCCGCAATGACAACATTACCGGCCGTGACTTCACAAGTCTCGGCACCACACAGTGACAAGTACAGTCACTACATATGTATACATTTGTTTTTGTTTGTATGCGTGTGTGTGTATGCATGTGTCTCTGTGTGGGCTTGCCTGCATTTGTGTTAATTTATTTGTATGGGGTCGTGTATATGTGTGCATGTGTGTGTGTGTCAGTGTGTGAGCATCTATGGGTAGAGGAGAGCGGTAGTGTAGCGGTTAGCGTGCTGCACTTCAAACCCGGCAACCCGAGTTCAATTCCCACTCACGATTTTCTGAACCGGTCCTGGGCCTCAAAATGAGTACCGAGTGCAATGTGTAAACATCGCCACTGATGAGACAAAGCCGGCCGGGAGTGGTGCTGGTCACCCACCCCGTCGTGTGATATGCCGGTCTTCATAGGTGCCCGCTAACAGCACTATGCAGGGATTTTTGTATTTACATCAGAGGTCGCAATCGGGTACCCGATACCCGTACCCTACCCGATACCCGGCTACCCGTACCCGGCTGGGTACGGGTAGCCGGGGTAGGGTACCCGTTAGCGACCCTGGTGCGGCCGGGTACGGGTAAGGAATCAAAACCCGTTTGCGACCTCTGATTTACATCTGTGTGTGTGCGCGCATCTGCTCTATGAACCCGGAAATGTTATTAATTCCACTGCCAACATCCGTAACCAATATATTCATATGCGCACACACACCCCTCTCACAACCCATGCACACGCACAAATGCACACACACATAAATAAATAGGGCTCATAGAAATCTGAACCGGTTGTGGGTTTCTCTTAGGCATTAAATGACGGCTTTAAACAAGTCTTCACGAACAGCACTCGACCCTGACGGGTCTGTTAATGCTACACGGGGTACCTTTGTCTTTGCAGCTGGCCGAAGTGCATGTCGCGTGCTACAGCTACGTGCACTGGGAGGAGGTGCACCAGCAGTGCGCGCCCGGCTCCGGTTGTGCCGCGGCAGGCTGCCTGCAGGCCCCACGCTGCCCCCAGGGGCCGGGCTGTGTCCCCTACAAGGAGGAGCTGCTCGTGTACCGCACGACGGGGCGCCTTGGTGGCCACACGTGGAAGCCGTGCTACCTGGTGCTCAGGTGCGTGCGTGTGGAGCAACGTGCGGTGTACTGTGACATCTGCGGTTTTGAGGTTTCAGCATCGCTAGGTGATACACCAAGTGGGTCGCAGGCTTCGGTGCCACCGACTCTAGTGGTCGCGCTTGACTACCGCCGATCTCCCAGTCCCTACCTCACTGCGCTGGACACGCTGTAAGGCAGTTGGGGTGATTGATCCAGCTCTAATGGATTCATTCCAGTCACTCGTTCCCTGCTACCGTTGTTAGGTTGTTAGTGTTCCCGTAAACTTCACTCATTGACTCCCACACCCGTGGTGTTGCTAACCAGACTGTGTCATCCAAACTGTGTTCAACTGCTACACTGCTGGTCGCAACAACACTCACTTACTCAACCACTTTGCCGCACACTCACTGCAGGTCATAACAACACACTCACTCTCTCCACCCACCCACTCACCCACCCACTCACCCCATACTGTAGGTCACCTCACTCCTCTCTCTACTTCTTCCCTCGCACTGCTCCACTCTGGAATTCCCTCTCCCATAGCCTCTTTTTCCCCAGCTCTTACAATTGTAGTGAGTCCAACTGAGTCGCAGACGTTATTCTTCTGAGGCAACATATTTATTGTAACACGTATATACAAAGGGGTAACTGCCCCTTTACCAGATACAGCCTGGGGTGGTGACCACCCAACTAACTACACTATACGTAGGAGTTACAGCTACGAAGGGTCGGACCCTCACTCGTGTCCCCGGCCACGTGTTGATGCCTTGTAGGACATAGAGCTTCCAGCTTGTAGACGTGGAACTTCCAGCTTGTAGAACGAAGCGACCCCGGTCCCTCTCAGGGACCCACCTCATATCCTCCCGGGTCGGGGCTGGCTCCGCCCAGGTCCCACCCGCCTTCGCAAGCGTTTGAGCTCCCTCTCGATCCCCTTCGAGAGCTCTCCCTGGACACGTGATCACCCCCTAACCCCCCCCCCCCCCACCTGGGGCCTTCTCTGTGGACACTCCAGATCACGTGTCTACGGGGTCAACCAGAGTGCCATGGCCCGGGGCAACCCTGTCCCCGGGCTGACACTCTCCCGCTCCCCCTTGTGGGAGCCTGCACTGCACGCCATGCGTGGTGCCCGCGCTATCCCAACGCTCACCAAGCCCCGCTAGGGCTGGTACTACACCCACCTACGATGACGGTGCATCGCACGCCACGACCCTCCCGGGACGGCACCATACAGTGACATCCACGATGTCACTACACTGTTATAACCTCACTCATTTCAAGAAATGTGTGACACTCATGTCTTATATCTAGTACAACTTTGATAGTGCTGTTTGTTGCTGCCTGCCTGATATGTTGGGCCTTTGGGTCTGTGCTCAGCAACTGTGTTAAGAAAATTAAATGAGGTGAACAGGAGATAGCAGTACATCAAGTAGGTTGTGCAGACTGTTCGGTGCCATCGCACTAATGTGTGGCTCACTCTCTCGTATGGCTCTCTTGTGGCTCACTCTCTTGTAGCTCACTATCTCGTGTGTGGGTCATTCTCTCTCGTTTGGCTCTCTCTCGTGTGACTCTCTTGCTTGTCCACGTATGTTAAATGTGCGCTCTGGCGCTGTTTTTGTTTCCAGCAGTGGCATCTTGTACCAGTACGAAGACAGCACGGGCGTGACACCAATCATGTCTCTCAGCATGAGGTGAAACACTAATTCAGAAACACTGAATGTGCAACACAAGTGCAGCGCACATGCAGCACCAGTCATCATAAAGGTCAAAGTCAGAGTGATGTACCACTCAGATGAGCATTAAGGCATTGGTACTGATCACATGTTTACAGCCCTGCTGGGCCAGTGGTGAAATTCTGCATTACTATGGCGAGGGGAGAGTTTCACCATAGAACCAAGATTCACTTCCACACAGAGTGGCACTCGCGTTATCATCTCCGCCATGTGCGATCAGCATAGCCACCTTTTTCACCGCAGACCGATCCCGCGCGCACTTCCCTGCGCTGAGTCTCCAGTCATGAAGGCAGTGCCCCACTGGCCCTCAGCACAAATTGACTCCTGCAAACCCACACACTCGGGTGCCATTCCCCCCCCCCCCAGACTATCCGGCTCAAACCCATTAGGCAGTGGCAGCGGAGTCCCTGGCTCTCGGATGGCATTGTGTGACCGGCCCTCCCCCCCGCTGTCTTGTGTGGTGGTTGCGCAGCGGAGGTGGGTGTGGCGGTTGCCTGCGCGTGCGCGATGCCGAGCAGCCACACAGCTTCCAGGTGCTGCTCACGGGGCGACCGCCCCTGCGCCTGGCCGCACGCTCCGAGCCCAGCGTCTCCCATTGGCTGCAGGCCATCTGCCAGGCTGTGTCGCACGGGGTGAGCGTGCGCTCGTCGGCTGCTTGCGCCGACCGTGCGTGTGTGTGTGTGAGCGAGTGTGTGCTGTTCGTTCGAATGTTGTTCACTAACAGCACTTGTCCCAACAGTGTGTTAAGGCTAGACGGGGGATTTTGTTTTTGCTGTTCGTATGTTCTCAGTGTGTGCATGTGGGTGTGAGAGGGGTGCGCGCATGTGTGCATGTGTGCGCGCATGGTTTGTGCAAGAGGATTGTGTGTGCACGGTGTGTCCGCTCGTATGTGTGTGTGTGGGGGGAGTGATAGTGTCGTGGTTATTACCTTTCACTGTGACCCCGGTGACCCGAGTTCAATTCCCGCTCACAGCCAACACCAGTGACGATTAACTGAACTGGTTCTGGGTCTACCTTGGGTCGACTCGGCCTCAATGAGTACCTGGTGCGGTGTGTAAAAATCATCACTTGGGAGACAAAGGCGTCCAGGGATGGTGCTGGCCATCCGCCCACTCGCATGCTGTGCCGGCCTTCATAGGTGCTCGCTATAAACGAAAGATTTGTATTATACCAGCTGAGGCCCACTAAGCTATATCATTCATTTTCACAAGCGACCTGGCCACAAATGATAGTTTAATCAAGTAGCTTATCATTTGTATGTTTATGGCAGCCTTCGCTCGGCGGATGGGTGGAGGTTGCGATTTGCTGAGGAGATGGAGTCTGCTTCAATGGCCCGCGATCACAAATCGCTCTTTAATTCCATAAAAAAGTAACCTGCAGCGCCACACCTGTTACCATCATTATGGGAAAGAAAGGTGATCCAATCTCCGACCCCCAGGAACAGGTTTGCAGATTTGCTGAACATTTCTGTGAGGTTCTGGAGGAGGGGAAATCCTGTAAAACAACGTGGGACAAAGTGGGGATGAACCTGCCTCAAATATTGAATGGCTGTCTGAGGTGCCATCTGTTGCGGAAGTACTGAAGGCACGGGTAGAGATGGATTTCCCAAGCGAAATGCTGAGGGAGGCTGGCAACATTCTGGACCAGTGGACGAGTTCCGCAGGATTGGAAGGATGCCTTGGTGGTCCCCCTCTTTAAGAAGGGGGACCGCACAGACTGTAACAACTACAGGGGTATCTCACTCCTCAGTGTGCAGGAAAAGGTCCTGGCAAGGATTATTCAACATCGCCTTGCTAGGCACGCTGAGGAGAGGCTTGCGGAGCCCCAATGCGGTTTCAGGAAAGGGCGGTCCTGCACAAATGCCATATTTTCTGTCTGTCTGTTACAGCAGAGGTGTAGGGAATTCCAACAAGACCTACATCTCTGCTTTATTGACCTGGTCAAGGCCTAGGATACCATCAGTAGGCCTGGGCTCTGGGTTGTTCTTCGTGCTTTCAGAGTCCCTGACCCTCGGCTCACAATCATTAAGGATCTTCATGATTGTGAGCGGGCCCAGGTAAGACTACGTGGCCGGGAGTCGGAGCCATTCCCTGTACACATTGGGGTGCGACAGGGATGTCCTCTGGCTCCCACATTATTTTACATCTATTTCGACCACATAGTTCGTGAAGCCTTCAATCGCTGTACCGGAGGTATTTCCATCTGGCACAGATACACCGGGAGGCTGATCGATGCCCGGGTGCGGTCAAGGGATGGCTCCCTATTGCTCAACCATGTAATATATGTCGATGATCTGGTAATTGCTGCTCACTAAGAGAAAGAGTTGGAGGCGCTGCTGCTGAACCTGGAGCTTGCCACTAAGAGGTGGGGACTTACCGTCAGCCCCACCAAAACTAAGCACCTGCCTGGGTATTTTGTACCATCGGACACTCCACCCCCACAACTCCCAATTGTCGATAGGGCAGTTGTGGAGAGAGTGGAGAGTTTCCCATACCTGGGCAGTGTGCTCATGACCGGCTCCGGTATGACAGCAGAGTTCTCACTCCGAATCAGTCGAGCGGCAATATCTTTTCATCGGTTGCGTAACGCTGTGTGGAAGCTACCTGGTTTGTCGCTCCGCACGAAGCTTCAGGCCTTCTCGGCCACAGTCATTCCCTCCCTCCTCTACGCTTGCGAAACATGGACCCCCCTAATGGAACATCTTTGCCAGTTAGAAACATTTAGGCTAGCCTGCCTATGATCCATGCTGGGTTTAACCAGACTGGATTGTATGAGGAGCTCACAAATCCTTGAAAGATCTGGACAAAGTCCAATCGGTGAACTCCAAAAGCTGTTTAGGCATGCTTTGGCTGGGTCATGTAGCCCGCATGCCCAGCCACCGCATGCCTAAACAGCTTTTGTTCAGCCAGATCGAGGGGGCTAAACGGGCGCGGCACAGGCTAGAGAAGAGATGGAGTGATGTGGTATAGGAGGATGTGGAGCTGAGTGGACTGGCCGATGACTGGTACCAGCGGTGTCAAGATCGGCCTCTGGAGGAGGCTCGTGAAGAACGCTACTGGGTAGTTGGAGGCAGTCGCCCTCCAACAACAATGGAGGGCGGAAGAGCGACGCTCACAACAACGAGCGGAGTGCCGTGTGGCTAAAGCACAGCAGGTTGGCACAGTAGGGGGCACAGGTAGTGCATCAGCCAGTCATCTCTGTCAGTCAACCTGTGGCATCTTGGTCTGCCCCGTGACCTCCTGCCAGTGGGCGTACGACATTTTACGTGGCCTCAACGTGCACATAGCCTGGCACAAGCGTCGTGGTGATGTCACTGCCACTTCGTGGCGAATGGCGGTTGTTGTTGTTAGGTGTGCGTGCGTGTGCTCGCTGTGCTGGTGGTGACACGGTGGCATGTGTGTGTCCGTGTGTGCGTAGGTGTACGTGCGTGTGCTCTCTGTGCTGGTGGTGATGTTGTGGCATGTGTGTACGTGCATGTGTAGGTCTGCGTGCATGTGCCCGCTGTGCTGGTAGTGACGCGGTGGCATGTGTGTGCGTGCGTAGGTGTGCGTGCGTGTGCCCGCTGTGCCTGGCGTGCTGCTGCTCACGCGGAACGACCTCTTCCTGTGCCATGAGGACGTGGAGACGCGGTTCATCCGCTCCCTGGGCAGGCTCCCACTGCCGTGCATCGTGCTCGCACGGACACACGACATGCGCCACGCGTGCTCACTGGTACACTCATTCATACCCAGATACATGCATTCACAAAGACAAAGATCCCCAGTATAGATGTAACGCGATAAACGGGGTACTTACCTGCACTAGCAGACATCCACCAGTAGGGTGAGATGTGTGGGCCACCAAGGTTCACCAAACCCCAAGAGGGGGGCTGGGGGAAGATTCCAGGTCCCTCTGGAACTCTCTGGAAGGGAGGCGTGGCCAGGGGCGTGGGGACCCTGGTAGGTGTATAAAAGCCGGACACTTGACCCGGGTTCGGCAGTGTTCCTCAAGCCGAAGACTGAAGACCGGCTTCGAGTAGGACCCTGAGACCCCCAGATCCGCTATCCTTGTAAGGGCCGGGACTGAGTGGACCAGTGGCGGGGACCCGAGAACCTTGGCTGGGTCGGGTCAGGATAGCCTCCCCTAGGGCCCCTAACCGGAGGGTTGAGTGCAGTGGTCCCCAGTGTGAGGAGGCACGATAGCCCGGAGGCCATACCTCCCCAGGTAGCGGGTGTAAGGGGCCGTTACCCCTTTGTGTTAGAGACCCTGTACACTAGTGTTGTTAAATAAAAGTGTCGCCTCAATTACCGGCTCCCCTTCGTCCTTGGGCTCAATACATAACCATAAAAGATTGTCGGGGAAAGTGCTGATCACGAGCACCTCTGTGTACACACAGTGTGCACACGCTGGGTTAATTTCATGCGCTCTCCGTGTGTGTGCACACACGTGTGAGTGACGCAGGTGAGGGAAGGCGCAGACTCGCAGTGCGTCCTCGGCTGGGACCTCAGCTTCAGTTGCGACTCGGAGCTGCGCAGGTTCCTCTCCGGCCTGGCTCTCGCCTGGGAATCGATTTTCCAGGCAAGTTTGCGCGCGCGGCCAGAGTGGAAATCGCAACGATCGTTTTTTTGCTTGCAAGCGCTTCGCGTGCCTTTGCTTCCCAGGCCTGGGTGCCGTCGGCACGCACAATGATGGCTGTCCCTGTGAGTCTCTTAACGGCTGTGAACGTAATGTGGTGGGGGCATGTGTGCGGATTCTATTCAACTGTGTGTTATAATCTCGATAAACTCTAAAACAACGGACAAGCCTTTGGCATATGGCACCCGTGGTGGCGGTTGCTTGGAGGATTGATTCGATGCTGGGAAGCGACGACTTACTCAACTTGTATCTAACATTGAGATCCGAATGAGCCGAAGAATTCCTGTCCTGCCTCCTTTTGGGATCCCAATGACGGGCAAATCAAGGGAAAGTCTCCCTCCAGGGGATCATGGGAGCAGCCAGTGAGTGTAGCTGTGTGAGGATAGCAGCGGGTTGCTTATTGTGTCAACACAGCAGCGACAGATACGTGGCTACCAGTCGTGTCCATGCACAGTGTTGTATTCAGAGTCCGAGTGAGTTCCTGAAGAAATTAGAATGTATGCATTGGTGCTCCTCTCCTGTTGACGGCGCTGCAGCATATTCATAGGACAACCACAGTTGACTTCCCCTAAAACAAGATCCCTCATAATGGGCGGTGGTGGTGGTGGCTATGCTGCCTGGAATCCAGCGTTGTGGAGGCAGCAGCGAGGGTTCTGGATCACACCGAGATGGGTGGGCATCGAGGAGGAGCCGTACCCTGGCTCACCAGGGAATGGCAGTACAGGAAAGTGTGGATTCCACTTGTTCCATCTGTACGCGATATAAAGTTTTGCCCTCTCACACGTATGGGTTTTCCCCGTGTTTCCTCCCACCTGTATAAACATTAATAATGATTTGTTACTAATACTAAAACAAGATCCCTCATGCTCTGATAGTGCGTTGTCTTTGAACTGTGCGCCTTTTGGCGTCATCTGGTCGAACACCATATGAGACTAGGCTCTAAGGAAAGCTGTCTCTGGTGTGGACCAATGAGTTTCAAGGACAATGCATAAATTATGAGAGTGTTGTTTTTGTTTGCATTTTGACTGCAAGTATTGTGGTTAATGTAAGCATGATTCCTTGAAAAAGGTGTCAGTTTTGTTGCCAGAAAAAAGGGGAAAAACCCTATTAGTATATTTTGGTACTGGCAAAGGAGGCCTCATGATGAAATTAATGATTTGGCCAATACCATCTTTTAATACATGGAGGAGCACAGAGCTTGGGCAATTGTTGGTCATGCCAAATCCTTAGGGTGTGGCTGCTGCTGCCTTCCCACTCATTTGTGATTCCTTCTCCTGGCGCCTCCAAATGATCGTCTGTCTCTCTACGAGAGCGAGGAGCGAATACATGTGGCGGCAATGCGGCGTTTCCAGTTGACATTTTATTTATCATTAACTCGGATTTGAACTCGCAGACCATTCGAACGTGCACCACTCGCTCTATCGCCGAGCCACTCGACTGACTGGACTGAGTAATTGTTTAGTTCGTGCATCCAAGGGTGGCACTGGGGAGCGGTGTGGGCCCCCTGGTGCACGCATTATTAACTCGGCCCTCATTATTCACGATCTATCGTTAAATTCTGAGTTGGGACACCTCCATGATGTGGCCCCAGTTATGTCGTGCAAAGCCGTCTGTTGCCCAATCTACGTGGTGCACAAGGGGTAACAGCAACTGGCCGATTGTTATTGTGTCGCCTCTCGCCGGTGAGTCTAATATCTACGCGTAATGCATACTATTTGGTTGTTTTTATAACCCAAAATATGAGCACATCTCAAGACACCGTAAACCATGCGATAGATGTCTCGGTGGCCCTCTAGGATGGTGGCAGGGTGGCGGTGCAGTGGTGACACACCAAAAATCACCTGGGTTCGATGCCTGACTTGGGTGCCTTTCTGTGTGTGGAGATTGTATTCTCTCCCTCTTGTTCTGCATGGGTTTCCTCCGCGTTCTCCAGTTTCCTTCCATAGCTAAAAAAAAAAAACACAGGCAATGTTGTAACCGGTATTGGCCGAAAACACATTCCAATCCTGAAAAATTACCTGCAGATCATCACCTAGTTGGGATCACACGGCAGCAGCAGCAACATTGCCCCCGACTGAGAACACCTGGCAGGACTCGGCAGCGAGGCCTTCCTGGATTAACCAGGGGAGGAACGACATTGATAACAATAACAACGGGCCCCAGATATGCAAGCTGAACAGGGTACGGCCGCTCTGCATCTCTGTGTCTTTGTGCAGGTGCAGCTGCCTGCAAGAAGTGCAGAGGGACGGGAGCTAGAGCCGCTCCGAGTGGGAGCGACATAACAATACATGCTGACACGCACACATACATATATACACACAGTGTAACACTCGTGGACTCCCTGTGTCTATACATGCATATGCACCAGTACGTTACTGCGCACACTAAAATGCACATTTATGGTAAAGTGCGTGGAATATGCATGGATGCCCACAAACATGCATACGCACGCATGTGGCGAGGTACGAATGCGAGTTTACACACACCGCGTGGTGGTATTTAACAAGTGTGTTCTTGTTTTTTTCATGTTTCTGCAAAGCCAACTCGAACAAGGTATACGTTTTTGTTTAATGAAATAAAGTTCAAAGACTGAAAAAGCAAAACCGTGTGCAGTACGTTCATGTGAGAAATGAACGTATGAAAAAGCGAAACCACCGATGCCTTCTATACCAACAAAACACAAATGCAGATCATTCTCACTCCATATATCTCAACTAGGCCACGTGTAATGGTCTGGCCAAATTTATTTAATAAGGACCCTCCACCACCCAACACGGCCATACGAATTGAGGAACAATCCTCGCAAACTCACATCGATGATTGAATTCATGACGTTTCGCTTGGGACTGCGCCGAGCATCATCCTGGGTGTAGGAATGTAAATATTGTCTCCGAAGACGTATGACGTGTTAAACCGATTCACTCGTGAATCCACAAACACTGCCCCCACAGACCATCACTTGCTCAAACACAAAAGGGCCACTGACTGTCACTGGACCCGCACACAAACACGGCACCCGCCGTTAGCATTGGTGGTGTCACAGTCGCTGAACGATTCACACTGCGTGGGGCTTTGTCGCGAGGGATCAGCGTTATTAATAGTTATAGTTCAATAAAATGTCATCTCATTGTTCTTTGGGTCTTTCGGTAAAGCCACATAGATAGAAAAAATAAAAAATATCACGACGTTTCGATCGCAACACAAGCAATCGTCATCAGGTGAAAAAATATAGCGGGAGAGCTGCTGAAGCAGGATGTTATATAGGTTTGAGATGGATGTCGCCCAAGGGTAAGTGGGCGGGGCTAGAGATGGAATTTGCATGTAAATGTAAGAAAACCGGTTGCCACTGCCACATCGAGGAAAACGAAGCTGTGGAGGTGGCCATTGTATTGTGAGAGATGAGCATGTCAATGTAAGAGAACCACCGCAACGGTGGCTGTGTTAGTGAGACGGCCTGTTAAAAACGAGAGCCACCGCCACATCGAGGAAAATGAGCAGCGGTGACTGTTATTTTAGTCGTACCGGGGCGTAGCTAGCTGAGGGATGTCCGCGTAGAGGACAGAGTTCTGACGTGTGTCAGCGTCGAGTGTAGAGAGTGTAAACAGAGTGTATAAGAGTGTGTAACAGTTGTGAATAAACGGCAAGCAGCCCTATGTAAGAATCCTCGTCTCAGTCTGGCTCTACAAGTCTCCTGGGTGTCAAGAGTTTAAAAAGAAACACAACACATCCATCGGTGTTAAAAGTGTAAATTGATAGATGAATTAATATATATCACTTTGTATATTATACTATACATATTAGTTGTTTATGATATAAAAAATAGTTTACACGTGGAGAAAAAAGTCGCCATGAACAACATATGAACAGGGGCTCTCGCCAATCATAGACGCTAACGCTTGGGCACCTGCATGTTCACCGTAGAATGGAAAAAATGTGGGGCTTAATGGTTAAGTTCATAAATTTGGAGTACGTTGCCATCCCTGGTTATTCCAAGCCTCCGAATTGTGTTCGTGACTCACAGCACTAATAACCGTAACACTATAGAAAGCAATAAGTATTACTTATATCGTGTTACGGATTCACCAGAAAAAGCTCCGTGCCATCTGACGTCATTCTAAAAGTGTTGGCCATCGTGTGCCGTCGTCGTGGTCCATACTTGCCAAATAAGAAATAAGTTACCCGCAAATTACACAGTTGGGATTACACACATCAGCAATCGCCGCTCCATACCGGCAGACGAATGCCCTCTTGCAGACCTTCGCTGAGTCACCTCGTGCCACACAGGGACAGCTGTGCAGCACATGGTGCAAAGGCGTCGATGAGATAAGACGCGAGTCACTCATCACGTGCAAAGCTAAGCTGCCGAGTTCCATTATCAGTGTGCCGTGCGGTCCCGCGCTGATCTGGCACGAGTTGTCACTCGTACGCGCACACTGAACTACCTATATTACTTATAATTTATCATACTGTAAAAGCTTATCCATAAAAGCCGCAGAGTCGTGGGGCTCTTTTTCAGGTTTCCTGCATTGGGTTATTGTGAGATGTTTTCAGCCAATTAATGACGAGTGTTTAATTAACCCACGGACACGAGGGGGCAACTATCCCCATACAGACAGCAAAACCTAACTGGAGATGAGTCCACTTGCTATACTGCACTCTCTCGGTGAGCCCACAGCAAGGGAGTTTCACATTCGCGTGATTATCCACCAACCCTCACTGCCTCCACGGTGTTGGACATCAGGCCACATGCAGCATAGCCACTGCCGCACGGCTAAACACGACGTAGGTTTTCACAACCAATATTACGATTCAATGTTGGTTTTCGGGTGATGTGTTATCAGACCCTCTCCCACCAAACAGCCAAACAATTTAAATGGTTACGTATGGATTGACGTAGAATCGGTCGCGTAGCAGCATAGCACTGGCTGCTGGCAGGGAAGGGGATCTGCAGCTTCCAGCAGCCCTGACAGCAGGTCACGTGATAGACCAGAGCGGGATCGAGGGGAAAGGTTACGGAAGGGGCACATCGAGAACCCGCGAGTAGGTTCCAGAAGGGGGCGTGGCCGGGGGCGGAACCAGGCCATGCTGACAGTATAAGAGGACCCCCGGGAGGGGATCTTGGGAAGACCATAGAGTCTGGGAGGTCTTGCCGCCGATGGTTTTAGAGAGGGACGTTTGCTTGGTTCGATTAGGGAAGTCGAACTCGTGATGATTCTGTTGGTTTTTGTCGTTAGGCTTTTAAGTGGGATCGTTTTTAATTTTGGAGTAACTCCCATCATTAAGTAGGTCCAGGATTTTGTTGTTGTATGAATCTTTATCCATGATGACCGTGGCATTGCCCTTGTCTGCCGAGAGGATGGCTATATCATCTCTCTTTTTTAGGTCCGCGAGTTCAGAGCGTTCGTTTTTGCTGATGTTACTAGTGGGTTTCTTAGCATTCTTAAGAATAATGGCTATTTCAGCTCTTGCTACATCCGCATGGATGTGTCCTATGCCTCTGAGGGCTACATCAATCTGAGAAATTACATCCTCTACTGGTATTAGTCCTTTGGCCAGTACCGTTTTTAGATTGTCAGAAATTGGGATGTTACTCTGATTAATAACGGTCTTGTTAACATCCAGCTTTGTGATGTGTGGCTCTGGAATCAGACGCCATCCAGACATCCACTCTGCGTCCTTCCCTGTGGAAGAGGTATGTGGATGACACTTTCTTCATTTGGCCACATGGCCTCCCAGCATTGAACAACTTCTTGGACCACATCAATTCCAGACACCCATCCATCAGATTCACCATGGAAGTGGAGAAAGATGGTAAACTACCATTCTTGGATATTCTGTTTGAGAGGAGACCTGACGGATCCTTGGGACATTCTGTCTACAGGAAAGTCACCCAAACAGATTCCTACTTGAAACCGGAATCCCACCACCACCCATCTCAAAAGAATTCTCTCATCAAAACGCTATACCACAGAGCTCATGGCATTTCTGACCAACACCACCTGGCCGGTGAATTAAGACGTACATCGGGCCCTCAGGAAGAATGGATACTCTGACCGCACCATCCGCCAAGCTGTTTCTCCCACCATACAGAAACAGCCACATGAAACTCCGACCAAAACTATCACGTTACCATACATAGCAGGCGTGACCAAAAAGATCTCCAAAATTCTAAACAAACATAAGATCCAAGTCCGATTCAGTACAGTGCATAACATCCGTGATCTGATTCCATCTGTGAAAGATGTCGTTCCTGACTTACAGTATCCTGGAGTCTACAAACTGAGTTGCAGTTGTGGTGATTGCTACATTGGAGAAACGAAACGTCATGTTTCTGATCGTTTCCGCGAGCACAAGTCAGATCTGAAACACGGCAGAACTGATTCTTCGGCTGTTGCCGATCATTGCTACAACTCTGTGGGCTCTCATGAAATTGTCTTTTTCGAGACCAAGGTGCTCTGTAAACCTCCTGGCTACCATCAAAGGTTTGTACACGAAGCCATCTATATATATAAAATCGCAAATCTGTCTGTCTGTCTGTGTGTGTGTCTGTCTGTCTGTGTGTCGCTGGACCATACGCAGTTTCATTGGACGAAATGTGAGGGATTTGCGAGACATGATTGGTCCATTTGGTTTCCCACGGCGGTTGCCCCTGGCAACGAGTAGCGACGCATCCGCTGCGGGGTGGACGCCATTTTTAATTCCCATTAAAAATATGCGCACGCATTAACACGCGACTCTGAGGTAAATTCATCAAGGTTTCACGTCCTCTTCACTCCCCCCCCACCCCAATGTGTGCAATTACTATTATAGGGTCGGTAGATAATAAAATTATAGCGATTAGACAGTATTATTGATGCGCGCGGGGGGGGGGGGGTAACGGCCCCAGTACCCAGCCTCAGCCGGGTGGGCAATTTAGGCGAGGCCGGAGGCTCTGCACGGTACTAGGCCTCGACACCCCACCACACTATAGGCCGTACATATTACTGCACAGCGGCCGAGGAGATCGTGGCTGGGGGGGGGGGGCAGGGGTAGCAGCCCATCTGTGTATATATGTAAGGTTATTAAGAAATATATTTTTCACCCGGGCAACGCCGGGTACTTCTGCTAGTACAAATATACAAACACAGACATAATTTCAAGCGTGATGATGGTTACAAACTGAGTAATCATTGGAAAAATGTGATTAACCATGCAAAAAAGATTTAATACACTTATTTGGACCATCTTATTTGACAGACAACTATTACAGGTTACTGATAGACAGCCAGTTTTGTTTTACCAGGTTTAGCTTCTTTTTTCACACTTTTGTTATGTAGGCTAGGCATAGTTACAAACCAAACCTCTCCATAATAAAGGCTCAGTCATTTGTTATGTAGTCTATTACCATCTACATGGCAGAGGCTCGGTCTCATTTGCAGCATTTTGTGATGTAGGCTAGGCGTAGTCACAAACCTCACCTCTCCATAATAAAGGCTCAGTCATTTGTTATGTAGTCTATTCGTAGTCTCAAGCCGCACCTTACCATAATAATAGAAAGTGGGTCGTTCCTGCCCCCCCCCCCCTCAACCATTATATATACGGAGTGGTATCTCTTGTAATCTCTCATTTACTTGATACAGCTGTCGGGCTGTGACGGTTCCACCTGAAGACGGAAGCTTGTGTTGCCTCCGAAACGTCGTGAGTTTTTTATTTTACTTTTATTCATTTTTATTTTTTACCTACGTGACTTTACCGAAAAAACTTAAGAATATGAATCCTTGCAGTCACGAAAGCTTCAAATCTAGAATGGTAACTTGCCATCCTTTTCCACCTCCATGGTGAATTTGATGGCTGGGTGTATGGAATTGATGTGGTGTCTACAAACTAAGCTGTGTCTGCGGCAGTAGTTTCATTAGGAAAACTAAGCAACATGTCTCGGACCGTGTTCGTGAACATAAGGCAGATCTGAAACGGTAGGACCAATACCTTGGCCGTGGCTGATTATTCTTTTAACGCTTTGGGCACACACAACATTTATTTTTCCA